TTGAGAATTAAGCAATAATAGGAATGCAATTCGAACTTGTTGGATAGATTGAGAGGTCAATCCAAGTAAGATTTAAAACTCGAGTTAACCCATACATCCCTAACTTCAAAAAAACGCTTACCTTGGAACCCCAATTGGTTTGGTTTTCATAATTGCAGCCAGCTACACGATTGGCTAGTGCCAAAATTGGTTGGGTCTTGATGGGCTTCTCCACAACGTTATCCGGGCTCAGTTCAGGAAATTCAGGTGGGAGAAATGCCGATGGAGCACCAAAAAAAACCCGACGACGGAAAAAGCATCCTGTTCCGACATAACTAGGCCCGGAGAGCCCATCCATTCCAACTGGATTGACTTGAAACAAACGTTTGAACTCGCATGCATAGATATCGGCTTCATTCAGGCCATGAAAGCGTTGGGGAAACTGAATGTATCCTATGTTTGGCCGACATGGCGAACCAGTAAGGTAACATAACACACGGTGAAGTGTTTGGGTGTCATTGGAGTACATGTCACAGTCCAGAGTCAATACGATGGGTGAATTGGTCATGATGGCAGATACTCGAAGCTTCAGTACACCAAAAAAAAAACCGAAGTTAGTATTATTTGGAAGCACTTGAACCAAACACACCATTAGATATACATGCAACGATAGTATTTTTGGAATATTCCATGACATTAATTTTGCTTATATCTAGGTTTGCTATGGAGACAAGTAAGATGAATTAAAAAGTTTTGGATTGCGCTTTGTACCAGGGCATTGAGGGCGCCAGCCTTAAAATGATGTGGGGAGGCTTTGCTTTTCTGCCTCGATACATATATAAGATTAGGCATTGATTTGTCTGTGTTGTCTCTGTCTTTTCCCATCTCTAACAGAACCTGTTTGAATAGTTGCAGGGCCATGTAAATGAAAAAAATTGGATTAAAGTTGCATAGCATTTTTATAAACGTCATTGTTAATTGGAGGGGACAAGTTTGGAATTATTAGCCAAAACATGGAGAAAAGTTGGAGGGCCAAAAAAAAATTTTTTTTGAGGTGGTTTTGAAATATTTTTAAAAAAATGGTTACTAAACATAATTTTTGACAAAAAATTATGATGAGAAAATTTGATAGTGATACCTCAAGGTTAAGGAATGTCATGGTTCTTCTGTTTTGGAATAAGAGGATGAATGCTAGTGACTCACGTCATTAAGTTCAACATGAAATTTATATTAATGTAGCATTGTAATTGTGTTGAAAACACATATGATTGACGATATTATATAATTTTCGAGTATTTAGCACTATCTTGTTATTTTTTCTCAATCGATCCCGTAAGAATAGTTTTTAGTGGAAGGAATGCAGTAGGTGGATGGCAAAGAGAACCTGGATTACGGAGGGATGGTCTTGACGAGTGAACCCTTGTGTCCATTTGTTAAAAGCTTCACGCTCTTCTTCACTGCTGACATACTCGTCGCTGACTTTACCTCTCTCAACCACAGTCTCTACCCTTATCTTCATGCTTTCGTACATCATCTGTTACATGCATGGATCAAGATTCAGAGGTACTGATATCAATATGATCAGGGTCATTAGCAACTCTACCAACAAGCTTTAATTTATCAGTACTAAACTATCCGTTGGACTGTACAATACGAATTTTAGCACTGTATCGGCATATTGTTTCTACACATTAGTGATTACGGGAGGGTTAAGCTATCCGCCCTTGGTTTATATTTGTGTATCTTTGGTTGGATCAGGAATTTAGGATGCTCTCGATTTTAGAATTTATCAACATGGATCAACTTAGATAATCGGATGTCAAATTTTATACCATCACTAGTTGTTATGAGTAATGATCAGCAGTTGAATTTTACTTATCAATTCCAACGGTGTCATGACGGCTACTGGGAATCAGATGACCGTGTCATTCTCTACACCCCTGAAAAATCATTTTATCCTCCTATATCTTTCTTTTTGTCTTGCCTCGAGAGCTTGCGGGTTTGTGGGCACAGCTGAACAAGGCCCATATTCAAATACTCGATCGGTGATTGACTTAACGTAGGCAACGACTTGAAAGAAGTAACAAGGGATCAAGAGGTAGACAATTGAGCACGGCGGAGATAAACAACATCGCACCGAGAGAGAAAGACCTATATGATTTTTTCAGAGAGAGAAGTTGGGATAGACGGAGAGAGAGAGATCATTTGATTCAAATCTCATTAACTTGTAGAATGTTTCTACAAAAGTTTAGCATTTGGGTTATGTTGAAAAATAAACTTGCGTTTAGATTTTATTATATTATTAAGATGTGTTAATTTGGTGTGTGTTAGTGGATAAGAAATTTGCAAGTAGTGGAAGACAATATTATTCGCATTAATTACCCAAGTAATGGTGTCTTAATTTTTTATGAGTTAGAAGAGTTAGCGGGTATAGTGGTGTATAAATGTAATGCTAGAAGTTGTGTATGACTTACATAAATATGACATACAGTCTAGTATTACAAGTAAAGTTGAGTAGATGTTGAATAGTCTAATTTGAGTGTGTGATTGCAATTAACTTGTATGAAAATTATTTTTCGAATATTAATATCCTCCTCCATTTATTTATATTTTATTTCTAATTCTCTTGACTCCAACAAAATGATATCAAAACCATTTTCTAATTGACATAAATTCAACGGGCTCTTTGACTGTTATGGGTTTTTTGCTTTCTAATTTTATTATGCAACGGCAAATTTGAAAGATGGCAGCTTCTTCATGAAATAACAATTCTAACAAGGGATGTTAGAGTATTTTAGAATTTGAAAAGGATATCCTTTCTATTAACAACTTACCCTATCTCAAGAAAGATATTGGTGAGTGATATAATTTTGGACCTTAGTCAGTTTGGCCAGATCTTACGATGCTGGCGTGTCCCAGGCTTTTTGGACGTATGTTCTTGACCAAGACTCCAATAATTCTACTTGTCTGTGTGTGCTTGTGATCTATACACTTAAATTATAGCACGAATAGAGACAAGAAGATAGCAAATGGCCTCGCCACTTGCACTCGTCCCCTTGCAGCCTCTGAATTGATAGATTTGGAACTACTATAAGTATTAGACAAAAAATTATATTATACATAAACGAAATAAAAAAATCACCGCAGATTGTCAACAAAAGTTATTATCTCAATCACTTGTCTCCCCTTTGCTCAAATCAACGGTGCAAACATGGTGCTGTGGGTCACGGTTGATATTTTCTAATTGCTGGTTGACCAAAGACTTGATCAGATGAAACACATAAAATATATATAGGTCTATCGTCATCCATGACTAGAGGAAAAGATCCAAGAAACTGTTGTGCTTTTTGATTGGCTTCTGTATTAAAATATAGGAATGGCCGGTCTGTGATGTAATATATATATATGGTTATAGGTCTATCCTCATCCATGACTTGAGAAAAAGATCCAAGAAACTGTTGTGCCTTTTTTGATTGGCTTCTGTATTGAAATATAGGTGTGGCCAGTCTGAATTTAACAGTTATAATTGATTACGTCTCTAAATTAGCTCCAAATAAATACAAAACTTATTCTAAATTCGGTTGTATTCGTTTTCACAGAACAAAAAACTATGTGGCTACACCATGCTTGAATGTTCTATTATCAAGTGATAACTTGTAAATCTGTAAGTTTTTCAGTTTTAAGTTTCTTTGCAAGTGATGTACTCCCAAAATACAAATCATGAGTTTGTATTATACAAAAATCTGAATCCCTAATTCTTTACCCATTCTAAACATCATTAGACCGTCTGTTAGATCTGGTTAAGGGATTGTGACCAACTAAAAGAAGCTATCTTTGAAGCTTTTAGGAATATCGACGAAATTTAGGCTTGACCATTAACTGTCCAACAGACACACACAGAGACCTGACGTAACACACAATTTTACACAATACAATGAAGATAATAACATTTCTGCAAGAGTATTTATTTTTCACTCATATTTGTTGTTGTTATGATTACTCTTAAAGCAGTAGCAGCTCAAAATCAATACAAAGAAATCGGGAGTACAAAGCTAGCTATATGTGTGTGTGTGTGTGTGTGTGCGCACAGTAAAAACAGACAAGAAGATCTTTAGTATGTAGTGGAAAATTCTAATAGTATGCAGAAAAAACTTCAAGAACTAAATGGAAAATAGTATTAGAAAAAGGCCAAAAGGAAAGGAAAAAGAATCAAAACATTAAAATTAGTTCAATGCAAAACTCAAATAGATGAACACAATTATTGCTTAATGAAGAATTCACCTTGATTTTCTCTGTCTCTGAACTCCTAGGGTAGTTTGATCTGAAATAAGCATCTGGACACCTCACTACGATGTTATTGTTCCGACAGTAGGGTAACCAGTGCTTCCCAAACTTTGCAGCCTCCATAAAAGCAAAGAGAGTGAACTCCGAGCCTCCATCGTCTGAAACATACACCGAAAGCTTCTCCGGTGGGTAGTCATAAGCCATCACCGATAAGGCCGTGTTCACAACGGTCATCGGCGGCTCTTTGTAAGGATCTGCAGTGCATATAAAGATGTCCATCGCCGGAAAATCCTTCCGGTCGATGACTTTCTCAAGGTTTTCAGGGAATTGTTGGCGAAGGATTGGGCGCATGCGAAAGGACTGTGTGGTGGACCACATGAATCCCAGAAGAATATCAGAGATTAACATGGATGTGGATATAAAGAAGGAGACTAAGGTGGTGGAGTGGAGAAGTGTGAGTAAATGGTGGTAGAGTAGAGCAAAGATGGCGGTGGTATAAACTCCGGCGAACAAACGGTTGAAGGGTGTGCGACGCATACACTCAAGTGTGTGAAGAGGAGACTTGGAGAGGGTGCTGTCCATTCCTCTTTGCTGCGGCTGTTTGTTGGGGATGATCTAAGGTCTGGTTACTCTAGTATGAATGACACTATTTATAAGAGTTTCAGGTACCCAAAAACTGTTTTTTTGATAATTACAAATATTTTTTATTTAATAAAAATTTTACACATGTAATTTTATTTATGTAATTATTATATGTTAGTTTATAATCCTTACAATCAAAGGACACAAATAACTCAAACTCAATTCCACAACCAATTTTTGTTTCTAAATTTTTTGAGTATCTTAATATAAAGAGTAATTAATAATGTTGAAACCTAATTTAAGAATCTAATACATTATAATCAGCAGTTGGTTTCATTTGAAATTTCAAAAAGGTTGTCTAGGATAGAAGCACTTTAGGAAATTATACTTTCTAGAATATTTTTTAGTATTTCGATGTAAATAATGCATTAGAATTTTTTTAATTTTTTTTTTTTGCATTGTAATTAGATTGTATTGAGATATAAAGTACATACGTCCCCCTAGTTAGATACAATTTAATTTTTAATCAATAAAATTTTTTGCACTGTCAAAATTCTCCAAAATATATATATATATATCTTTGAATAAGCCTCCATGTTTCTTTCTTGTTTTTTACTTGGATGATGGTATCAAATTTTTTGACCTAATGATGTATTAGATGACATAGTCTCAAGTTTTTAAAGTTACACTTTAAATAATGTTATTGAATTATGTCATTCAAAGTACATTATCAAAATATAAATTAATACAAATTTTTAAGTAACTCCTTCACTTTGGCCTTTTTTGTTTTCTTAAACATAAGCTAGGATTCTGATCAAAAATAAAAATAAAAAATAAGCTAGGGTTCATGATCAGTATGCAATCGAAGCAAATAATTAAAATAAATAATTTTAGAGTAACCAAACTCTTAAAATGAAAGTTGGGTCAATTTGGAACCACGTGGATTGACTAAATTCATACAAAACTAAATATTAGTTAATCCTCCCTTTTATATGAAAATTTTGAGAAAATTTGATGAAAATAGCATTAGCTATTGTGTAAAGAGGTTACCACTATACCACCAGTAGTAGTTGATGTGTTAAGTCCAAATAATCCAATTTATGTGTTAAAGTCCAACCCCAGTTGAGGAGCCCAACCTCATTGTGATTCCACCAAGTCTAAGACAGTCCAAGGCCGATTAGACTTCTTGCTTAGCACGTCACCAAGAGGAGAGCACGGGAAGCTTATCTGCACCACCAAAGGAAACGGTCCAAATCCACCAAGTCCAAGACAGTCCAAGGCCGGTTAGACTTCTTGCTTAGCACGTCACCAAGAGGAGAGCACGAGAAGTTTATCTGCACCACCAAAGGAAACGGTCCGAATCCACCAAGTCCAAGACAGTCCAAGGCCGGTTAGACTTCTTGCTTAGCACGTCACCAAGAAGAGAGCACGGGAAGCTTATCTGTACCATCGAAGGAAACGGTCCAATCTTTGACCACGTTCCATGAAGAACTCCCCAACCTCCTCTTACGTTGAGGATAAGTCGTGATCTCCACCAAGGATAATCTCTGAGCTGCGATAAAGAAGCCTTGAGGATATGTCATGATCTCCACAAGAATGATCTCTTAGCTACAATAAAATGGCTCCAATCTGGTAGAGAAAGGGATCACGCCCCACCAGAGACTTACAGAAGACGAACCGACTACCGGAGATTACTATTTTCTTTGATTCTTCATTCTCCCTCTCTCAAAGCTTGTATCTCCATTCTCCATACCTTTGAATCAATAAAATACCCGGCAACTGAAGCCATTGAAGAGTGGACGTAGGTCGAATTGACCGAACCACTATAGTTTGTGTCTTCTTAATTTTTTTCATTGATTTCATTGCATTTATTACCTACACTTGACAGGTGGTGTGCAAAACCATTTTTGTGCATCATCAGTTTGGCGCCGTCTGTGGGAAATCGACAAAATTCTCACTCCTGAACATTACATCCATTGAACTAATGGCGATCACTACCCGATCCATGAACCAACACGAAAACAACCCTCCACGAGAGGAGGAGGTTGCTCCCCCGCCTATCAACCCTGTTCCGGATACTCCAGCCCCGAATCCCCAACAAATATTGGAGACCATGCAGCAACTGGTTGCTCAAAACCAACAGTTACTGCAACTCATACTTGCTGGACAAGGAGGAGCACCACACGGAGGTGCACAACATGGAGGACCCCAAGGTGGAGCACCACACGGAGGTGCACAACGTGGAGCACCACACAGAGGTGCACAACATGGAGGGCCCCACAGAGGTGCACAACATAGAGCACCCCAAGGAGCTCCACATCCTGGACATCAAGGAGCACCACGCCCTGTTGCTCCACGCCCGGGTGCCCCATTGGGCACCCCACTTCAGGAAGCCCAACATGAGGGAGCTGCACCTCCCCCTCCCCTTGCTTTCCAGGGAGAAGACCCTTATCTCCAGGAGGATGAGGGTGAAAACCAAAGCATGGGGCATGGAAGCCACTTCCATGATCATTCCATAGGAGCCCCCAATCATTGGGACGAGAAGATAAAGGAGGTACAGAATCAACTCGGTGATGTCTTCAACGTCATGAAGGCACAAGGACCCGAGACTGTTGACCACCTGGTAAGGCGTACTGATACCCCTTTCAAACCTGATGTAGCAAACTACCCCCTCCCTCAGAAGTTCAAAATGCCATCTGTGGAGACCTTTGATGGAACAAAGGATCCACTGGACCACCTCGACACTTACAAGACCTTGATGCAATTGCACAACGTACCAGACGAAATCATGTGCAGGGCATTCCCAACCACATTAAAGGGGTCTGCCCGACAGTGGTTTGCTAAGCTCTCCCCCGCCTCTATTACCTCTTTTGCCGAGCTTAGCAGATCATTCGTCTCACACTTCATAGGAGGTCGTCGCCACCAGAAGCCAGTTACGCACCTGCTTAGTATAAAGCAGGACCGCGAGGAGAGCCTGAGGAGTTACCTCACTCGTTTTAACGAGGAGGTACTCCAAGTTGATGAGCCTGACGACAAGGTGACGATGACCGCCTTCTTGGGTGGCCTCCGTTCATCAAGTTTCCTTTTCTCAGTTCTGAAGCGCCCACCGAAGAGCATGCCAGAACTGCTAGCCAAGGCCCAAAAGTACATAAACGCAGAAGACATCACAAGGGCCAGGCGGGGTGAGTCTTCCAGAGCGGGTGAGAAAAGGAAGGAAAGAGAGAAGGACGATAAGAAGGAAACCAGCAACAAATATGGCAGGACAGAGAAAGTCCCTGTCAAGGACCGGCTAGGTCCTGCTCCTCAGAGGAACCGTCAACCTTTCACTCCCCTCAATGCTTCCGTGGAACACATCCTATTCCAGATCCAGGATGACCCCGCGATAAAGTGGCCTGGAAAAATGAAGTCTCCTCCAAATCGCAGAAATCCTAACAAGTATTGCCGCTTCCATCGTGACCACGGGCATGACACCGACGATTGCTACAACCTCAAGAGGCAAATTGAGGAGCTCATCCAGCGTGGTCACTTGCGTCAGTACGTTGCTGGAAGGGAACGTGTACCACAACCTCACAACCAGGAAGATCAGCAACCTGTGGGGGAAATCCACACTATCTCAGGGGGACTAGCAGGTGGAGGAGAATCACTTTCCGCAATGAAGGCCCATGCCAGGAAGGCAAGACATGTCTACGAGATGCGCCCATCTAAGGTGCCGAAGCAGGAAAGCGACGAGGTCATATCTTTTTCAAACAAGGACCTGGAGGAAATTCAACACCCCCATGATGACCCCTTGGTGCTCACCATGACGGTGGCCAACTTTCATGTGCACAGGATCCTGGTAGATAGTGGCAGCTCTGCAGATATCCTATTTGCAGAGGCCTATGACAAGCTCAACCTGGGCAGGGAGAGGCTACAGCCAATCAGGTCACCCCTCATTGGATTCTCAGGGGAAAAAGTGTATCCCCTTGGATCCATCACACTTCCCGTCACCGTCGGAGTAACACCCCGAAGCTCCACAATCATGGTCAATTTCCTGGTAATAGAATGCCCGTCAGCCTACAACATCATATTAGGGCGGCCAGCTCTTAACACATTAAGAGTTGTGCCCTCTACCTTCCATCTCGTTCTCCGCTTTCCAACCTTAAATGGAGTCGGAGAGGTCAAAGGGGACCAAATAACAGCCAGAGAGTGCTATGTATCCTCTATGAAGGCTAGGAAGCCCCAAGAAGCATTGCAGGTTGAGGTCCTTGACCCAAGGGATGACTCCGCAACAGAAAGAGGAGAACCAGTCGAGGAACTCATCCCTGTGGTCTTAGAAAAGGAGCACCCAGACAGAAGAATTTACATTGGCTCTTCCCTTTCTGAAGAGCTGGCTCCCCTGTTGATTGAATTTTTGGAGCGTAATATGGACATCTTTGCTTGGTCGCATGAGGACCTTGAGGGCATCAACCCGGAAGTAGCTACCCATCACCTCAATGTCGATCCACGGTACAAGCCTGTTCGCCAAAAGTTAAGGGGAGCCTCCACTGAAAAGGCCCAAGCCATGGACAAGGAGATTAGAAAGCTGGTTGATAACGGAGCAGTCAGGGAAGTGGCGTATCCAGAGTGGCTCTCCAACGTAGTAATGGTTACTAAGGCTAATGGGAAGTGGCGTCTCTGTGTCGACTTCACAGAACTGAACAAGGCATGCCCAAAAGATAGTTATCCACTGCCCCGGATTGACCTCCTCATCGACGCCACCGCTGGGCATGAGTTGCTCACTTTCCTGGATGCATACTCGGGGTACAACCAGATTAGCATGCATCCCCCAGACCAAGAGAAGACGTCATTCATCACGCCAAAGGGGAAAAACTGCTACAGGGTCATGCCCTTTGGGCTAAAGAACACTGGAGCAACCTACCAACGGCTGGTGAACAAGATGTTCCAGTCTCAGATCGGGCAAACAATGGAGGTGTACGTGGATGACATGCTGGTAAAGAGCCTTGCAGCAGTAGACCACATTGATCACCTCCAAAAAACTTTCAACGTCCTGAGGTCCTATCACATGAAGCTCAACCCTGAGAAGTGCGCCTTTGGTGTGGGGTCTGGTAAATTCCTGGGCTTTATGGTCAATCAGAGGGGAATTGAGGTGAACCCTGACAAGATCAAGGCCATTCTTGACATGAAGTCACCCTCTTCAACCAAGGAGCTCCAGCGCCTCAATGGAAGGATCGCAGCATTAAATAGGTTTGTCTCCAAATCTGCAGATAAATGTCTCCCTTTTTTCAAAACTCTCCGAAAAGCCTTTGAGTGGAAACCTGAGGCAGAGGAGGCTTTTCAAAAGCTCAAAGCCTACCTAGCAGCACCTCCCCTCCTGTCACATGCTGCCCCTGGAGAAACTCTCCATCTATACCTTTCTGCTTCCCCATCAGCGGTAAGCTCAGTGCTCGTTAGAAACAACAATGGAGTGCAGAAACCAGTTTATTACGTGAGCAGGGCATACCGGGGGGCAGAGGTCAGATATTCAGCACTAGAAAAACTGGCACTCGCTCTGGTCACGACAGCGAGACGGCTGCGACACTACTTCCAGGGCCATCGTATGGTGGTCATCACCGACCAACCACTTAAAAGAATCTTGGGAAAGCCGGACGTGTCTGGAAGACTTCTTAAATGGGCAGTAGAACTCGGGGAATTCGACATTCAGTACCAACCTAGGACGGCCATCAAAGCACAAGCCCTAGCAGATTTCGTAGCTGAACTCACACCAACAGAAGATGGGAACAGTGAGGATCCCCAAATGCCCAACGGAGACATCAAGAAGCCTAACAAAGACCCTCAAGCAGGCGCCCAAGTCTCCTCCCTAGGAGCCCAAACAACTTTTTCTGATGACCAGGCACCACAGGCTGCACCTCTAGCTCCTGCACCACAGGCTGCACCTTTGGATGCCCAGGCACCACAAGCTGCACCTCCGGATGCCCAGGCACCACAGACTGCACCTCTAGCTCCTGCACCACAGGCTGCACCTTTGGATGCCCAGGCACCACAAGTTGCACCTCCGGATGCCCAGGCACCACAGGCTGCACCTCTAGCTCCTACACCACAGGCTGCACCTTTGGATGCCCAGGCACCACAAGCTGCACCTCTAGCTCCTGCACCACAGGC